GACCGGTGCTTTGAGCGGCGACTGGAATTAAATGTATAAGCTTAAGATATACAATGTAAAGAAACGATTTTTCAAGAGATTTTACTACTACATACATATCAAAACTGAACCAAGAAATGCTAATAATCAAATACTGACGCAAGAGCAATGGCCAGTTGACTGAATATATTCACGGAACATCAAATATTACGTTAGAAACTTACTAAAACTACGGTAATCTGCTCCATCGTGTGAAAGGGTCTCCATCCATCCATTCTAAGCAGAATTCTATGCACTGAATCCTCTCTTCCCACTGTACGCCATTCGCTAATCGTAGCATCCTCAGTCCGCAAAAAGGACGAAACTTAATGTCACATCCTGACGATCAGATGGCCAGCCAACTGAATGAAACATGTCATGGATGAATAAAACTGACATAAATATATTACACAATCGGAATCTACCACGATAAGAGCTTAGAGCTTAGTACAAGTAGGGCAGTTCACTCCATTGTGCTAAATGGACTCCATCCATCCACGCCTCAAGCACGCCTCGTCCACTTTACGCCATTAAGAGCATTTCGATGGAGGCTGCTGTGGCACAATCCGTTGAGGCTACAGGCGTGTAGCACTAAATTCACTTTGCTGGAAAGTGAAGAGCTATATCGTGTAAGCGACGTTTCCTTAAATCTGATTGGCTGAAACTTTAAATCGGAGGGTGTAGCACAAAAAATCGGGTTTGACGAATTAGACAAAAGGATTCCAAACTTAGTTTATACTGTTGGATAGTCAGAAAAAATTATGGGGCACTTACGACAGTGTTATCGTTGAAGATATTGCAATATCATGGCCGATCCAATCACTCAACGGGCATCAGTACTTAGAGGTAGCTCCAGAGGCAGCATCGGTTTCTTGTGAAACCGTAACGGCAAACTCATGACTGCCAGGTCACAAAGTATTTCGCTATGAACGCTATTCGAAGAGCAAGAGTAAAGCAACTTGAAGGTAGTAAAGTTTCTCCGCCTCTGTTCTACTTTTGGGTTCCTAATAATGAATCAAGAGAACAATCCGCTAATGAATTGATAACCTAGTGTGAAAAACTTTTACTAACTGTTCGTAAATCTCTATCATCGTTTTTACGTTTGAATTCCTAACCATGCATCAAGAATACAATTCGCGAATATAATTTAATTTCCATGTTATTGTTCACTTCTTTACTACAGGTTCACACCCCTTCAACAAAAAATCAAACGACGCTTTCCGCCTAATGCTGTTGAGAGTTGATCGTTAAGAGGTCTGTTCGTTTGTTGCAGGGGATTAATTAATTTTGCGTTTCGGCCGAAAGTAATACGAAAGCAACAGCGTATATGCAGTGATGCACGCCTGACAAACTGCTAAAGAGTTATTGGTACCGGAAATACGTAAAAATGTCTTGCAACAAAATCATGATTCACAAACGCGAAACAAACCTGCCATCGTCTCACTGTGCATCTCGTAACTCTGAAACATTTAAAGCATTTGGCAAGACTGTCTTTCAGCAAACGCTACGCATGAAAAACGTCCACTGTTAATCATGTGGGTCATGAGGCAAGAAAGTACTGGTCGGCCGGTTCGGCTTGTGCGTCATAACTATGGCGCAATTCCGCGGTAGATGTTGACAAGCGTAGAGGTTAAGTACGCAGCCTGTTGCCCAACAGCTGACCAGCTAATCGGAATGGAAGTGACGAGTTTGTTCCTCATGACATGTGACCTCGGGGATTCGACAACAAAAGAACAAAAACGGTACATGACGATAAATGACGAGTCAGGTGTGCTATAATGCGTGCCGCGGTGACGGATGCTTCCCGAGCTGGCTGTTACAGCAAATATTCCCGTGCTGGTCGTGAAAGCAAATCCATTCGTCTTGAGGAACAACTGTCACTAATGGCCGCTGAATCACACGGTTGCTAAAATGCTGCGTGACGAAAACATCTCAGCTCAAGGTAGCCTCTGAGACGAACTCGGCCGGTTGCTACGTCAGTACTACGAGTAGCACTCACCGAAGAGACATCGAGGCGTCCTTTTACTGCCGTGGGTGTAGCTGGTGGTGTTGATCCTCCACCCGACTTTCACTATTTGCGTATTCCGTAGTTATTATTCTGTTTTTTGTTTATTTTGTGTTGCGACCTTCATCACCGGTCAAAATCGACACGTAGTCGTACCGGCGTATCGCTGCGCCCCAGTTTCGAACGAAACCAGATCTCTGCCTTTCGCTCGTCGTCAGCTCAAATATGCGCAGAAGTCATATGGTTTGCGTTCCGTGCAAGGTGCGAGCAGGGTAGCTTTCAGTAATTCGATGCACAACTGTGTTATCGCTATCTGAAACGTATCGGGTGCCCGTGTAACCCGGTTACGGGGGGGGGCTAGTGTAAACTATGGGAGGGTAAAGCAGCATTGGGTGATATACGGAGGGAGGCTGGCATCGCGTAACAGCCTCCCTACGTAACGCTACCGCTGAAACGATCGCCTCGCGTGCAGATGCAACGGCTTCGTTACGAAATAGTTCTTCGTTCATCGTCCGTCCGTTCGCTACTGTTGTTTAGGCGTCGCAATGGCTACCAGCACCTCCATCGTCTTCGTCCTCTTTCTGTCGACGACTATATGCCATCTGATAGAAGCCAGTCGTGACAACGGCTTCTTACCGAAGCAGTCGGACGAAGAATCTGCAAATGATTTCGATTTCGAAAACCGGAAGAAAGACCCGCTGTACTTCGAAAAATTAGCGCTTCCGCAGTCTCAACAGGAGCAAGAGGATGCCAGACA